CTATCTTTCACTACCTGGTGAACCAATGACCTGGAACAAGCCTGCACATATAGGCTCTATTATTATTATTATACAGTATTTATAAAGCGCCAATAGTTCGCTCAGCGCTGTACATTACAAAGGGGGACAGAACATGTGACAGAACAATACCAATACAATGCAAAACATGAGGGGATCAAGGGCCCTGCTCTTTCGAGCTTCCAATCTAGGCTCTAGATTTGCATATGCTAGTTCTGAGGTCAGTGATTCAGCAGTGAAGGGTAAGGACCACAGTGTTAAAAAAAAATGGAACATAATATTAAATGACAATGTTCATTGTTACACATTGCAATGCACTCTGTTTTGAAAAGTTTATCATGAAAATACAATTTAAAGCCATTTAATTGATTTTGGGCAAAAACATAGAAGGTGTGAATCTGGTCAACAGCACACTCCAGTCAAACCTTTCCTGTCTTGATTTGAACAGAGTGGGAAACGGTTAGAGACCTGGAATGAATATTGGTAGGAAAGTCTTATTACTGAATATCGTAATTATCATGTTACTGCTTTTACGTAAATATGTATACATATACTGTATATTCCTGCACAGTTGTTGGCCGTTCGTCTCTGCTGTCACACCTCGGCAAAGAGGGTTTGCATACTTGATGAAAGTTTTTGGACTGATATGGTATTACAGCAAATTGTTGCCTTTTACGTCAAGTTGGTGTGCTGGCTTTCTCCTGTGCATGGAATTGTACAGTGCCGCCGTTTAGTCATGCATCCACCTTTACAGAAAATTCAGCATGAAGTATGCGCAGGTGGTTTGTGGTATTGCAGACAATAGAAACCTGACAGAGGTTATAACCCTGTCCAACTCTAAAACCAAAATATTACATTTTGGTTGGAGATGGCCTTTAATAAGAGAGCAGCCTCATTAGCTATATTCTAAACCTAACCTAATTATAGGCCACCCTGCAGCAACATCCACTTAATAAAGAAGGCAAAATGTAAATGTATGAATGTGCTTTATAAATCAAATTAATCCTGAATTAATCCAACATCTAGCCCCACATTTACCTGGCCTATCTAGGGCCTTAATGGCAAAATGATATTAAAGTAAAGTGAAGTGTTCAAAGCCCAGCACTCACTTGTTGCTAACCATTTGTTCTTGGAACTGATTTTTATTTCACAGCAAGCCGCTGCATTGTTAAAAAAAAAAGTGCAAGAACAGTGTGCACCTAAAACACCTCAAATTATGGGTAAAACTGCTAAAGATGTATATAGAAGTTCCTACTTTAGATGACAAATGTAAAAAAAACCCTGTACTGTAAGAAATTCAGGGGTTGTCACTGATGACCTCCTGCTAAATTCCCTAGTTGCCTGACAATATCTGATTTAGGTGATTTGGAGGAACAATGGAGCGAATGATCCCCAGTAGAGTACATCTCATCTGCATGCTTGCTTGAGGTCAGAAACTTAGATAGTACTTTGGACCCTGTCAACTATCATTTTTAAAAAGGGGTGATTAGCAGTAACAGCAACCATATTCCTCTCAACACATATTTCCTTTATAGTGATTTATTAGAATGTTACAATCAGCATTGACCTGTGGCCTCCTTTATAGTTATATGGTCTGATGAAATGTGTTAAGCTTGTGTTGCGTTATGTCTGTACATTACGTTAAAAGTGATTCTAAAGGCTTGTTTTTTTTAAAGAAAAAATAACAAACATGTCTATACTTACCTGCTGTATGCAGTGGTTTTGCCCAGAGCAGCCTGGATCCTCCTCAGATCCCCTGCAGGCTCTCCTGACTCCTCCCTCCTATCAGGTGCCCCCACAGCAAGCAGCTTGCTATGGGGCACCCGCTACTCCGTGTGCCCATTCACACACGGAGCTACGGCTTGGCCCTGCCCCCTCTCCCTTCTCATTGGCTCACTGGCTGTGATCCTCAGCCAATGAGGAGGGAGAGTCCTTAGAGATCCGAGGCTCTCATGTACATCGCTGGATCACAATCGGGCCCGGATAAGTATTGGGGAGTCGGGGGGGGGGGGGGGGCTGCTGCACACAGAATGCATGAAGGTAAAAACTTTGAGCCATTACAACCACCTTAAGATATCCCATTCATTTGTATGCACCAAAAATCAGTACAGTGCACAATAGTGTATAACTATGCATTGTGGTGCACTACAATGTAGTTGTGTTAAGAGGCCATTCAAAATGAATAGTTTGCAATGCACCATAGTATATGCATTGAGGTGACTTCTCATGTGCATGGCCAGAGGTAATGTTTAAAAACAACATCTATATACAATAAAGAACATAAAATAGATAACTTTGCACATACTATCCCAGTAAAACAAAATACCTCAACTCAATTAGCAATCCCATTCCCCACCAAGAAAGCAACCTGTTTCCATTTAGTAGGCCTACACCATTTCTAAAAGAACTTCAGTAAGGACAAAATTTGTTATAAAAACTTGGAAAAATATCTGATTACATCTTTTAGCTCAATAGTTAGTTAAACTGTAGAACATAGTCCCTGGTTGCATAAAACACCTGCTTGCTTCTAGTTTAAAACAGCTGGCTCTGGAATTCTATATAAATTTGTTCAACTACATGGCATCAGCACACTCAGCCAAGATCTACGGAATGACAGAAAACAGCCATGGTCAATCTTCATCTGTAAGACAATGTCCTGTGCTATGAACCAATGAAATATTTTCATAGAGCCACTACTACCACCTGCATGGATTCAACCTATGTCTGTAGCCCTTTAAATGTCTTCGGTCATTTCTAGCCTCTGAGCTCAGGAGAAATAAAGCTCCGAACACCGAAGTGTACTTACCATCACTCAGCAGCAAAGGAGCAGATGAAGAAAAGTTCGAAGTACAGTATGGTTAAAAAAAATGTTTATGTTCAGCTTGATCAGTAAGCAGCCAGCAAATTCACATCACCCATATGAATGGATAATCATACCAAACCACATATAGCCAGCACTCAAGAACCCTTACCTATAAAAAGACCTATTTAACAAAATAAGAAAAAATGAAGAGGAAAGAACAAAAAAATTGAAGAATAAATATACCAAGCTCCTCTTCATAACAAACTACAGCCAATATAAATGAATGACCATACAACAGGAGAAAAAAACACTAATCTTTCTAAAAAACTTTTCAGAGGAGAAACTTCTCCTAATTGTAAATAATAGTCCTGCAAAAAAAATAAATTGTATTTGACAATATCTTGATTGCGACATAAACTGATAATAGTCCTGCTGTCCTCTGTACCAGGACAAATTAACACTGACAGTACACAGGTTTTTTTGTACTGTCAGTGTTATTTTCTCCTGGTACAGAGCCAAATCAGTTTGTGCTGCAATCAAGACATTTAGGAGAAGTTTCTCCTTTGGAAACATTTTTAGAACTTTTCATTAACCCTTCTGTGGACTGTCAGTGTTCATTTCTCCTGTTGTATGGTCATTGATTTATATTGGCTGTAGGTTGTTGTGAAGAGGAGTTTGGTATGTTTATTTTTCCAATTTTTTTTCTCTTAGTTTTTTCTTATTTTGTTAAATAAGTCCTTTTATAGGTAAGGTTCTTGTAGCGCCGGTTATATGTGGTTTGGTCTAAGTGCAGTATGTTGGTCATCAAGTAAATTTAAAGCTAAATATATGAAAAATAATGTGAAGCTTTCCCGTGTTATTAAATATCAGCTAAATTTAATTAGCAACAGAATTTCATATATTTATTTAGGGAACTTGAAAAAAACAAACACTTTAGTCCTCCATTAATTAATTCCAGTCTTAATTGTACAGAGTTATAAAAGTCTTTTTATATTCTTAGTGCCTTTCCCTTTATGAAACATACAAAAATGATGTGCCTTTCAGGCATACATAGATAAGGACATTCCTCTTTCACAAGACAGCAGACAACTGACGTTTTGGCATAGGGTAAAGACTGCTGAGAGTATGTACAACTTTAACACTGTGATCGATAACATGACGAGTACAACCAAAGTAAAATGCAACAGTCAATTGAGAGTATGGCATAAAGACATTTTTTCCTCTGCATATTCTTAGTCTTTAGAAACCGGGATAACTGTAATGCTAGAAGAACTATGAAAATGGCAATGTTTAGGATTAAAAAATAGCCTAGTATAGGAAGCAGATATGGATACAGCCCCATTATGTGTAGTCAGCGTGTGGTGAGAACCATATCTGCTGTAAGAACTAGACTTTTGTCTAACTGATGGCTTATCCACAAAGTCCAAAAGATCTTTCATTTCTTCATCCTCATTGACTGGAACTTCACTTTGAGCCAATGCCATGGCTTTTAGCCGTGTTTGCTTTTCGTTTACCTCAATTTGGGCAAATAAATCTGGAACAGCATTGATAAACTTATAGTTTCTAGCTCCCTTTCTTGTTCTTGAGATCTTGCCTTGTTGCTTCTGCTGTTGAGATATGGCAAATAGCTTTTCAATTGCCTCCTCTGTATTCCTTTTATCTGAAAACCTAAGTAACCTTTCAGCAGTCTTCCTAAAACTGGCGGTATTTTTTACATGAGACAAGATCTCTTTTTCCATTTGTTGAAAAACAGGTTTGAAGTGCTGAAGGTTTTGCTCCACAACCTTGACATAATCCTTAACCTCAAGGGAGAAAAACTTTTGATGGATGAGGCTTTATCAAATACAATCTTTTGTCTGTCTGCAACTATTTTAGCATAGACTGACTGACTTGGAGTTTCTCCTGTAAAGAGGTAGACAGCATAAGCATGGTCACTAGTTGCAAGGAACACATCCACTTGTTGATAATCTCCATGAACACTGAAGCTTTCAACATCAATAGAAGGTCCAATAAAAAGATATATTGACCGTGTGATTGGTTTCCTGAGATGGGTTGTCACATTCACATAATTAGTTCCATTATACGGATAACCCTGGGGATAGTTTATTGATGTGATGACAGCTTTTTCACTCAAGCCAGTGTCATCCATCCAGTACATTTTATAAATATTCTCCCTGTGCTTAAGTATTGCCCCATGAACACCATCAATAGAGGTTTCCTCAAAAGGCAAGTCTACATTGTGAAAAAAAGTAGTTGTTGCATCTACTGTGCTACTATGATCCAAGTGTATATGGTCAACAAGTAGCAGAAGCTGTGGATGGAGTAAAACTAGATTTCTTTGAACACTTTTTAATTTCAGTTTAGGGCTGTAGGCTGACGCACCTTCACCCCTGATAAAAACAACTCCATTTTTCTCCATTGCTGCCACCACCCCTCCATGAGAGTCAGCTGCCTCCCCTTGTTTATATTTTAGCCACTTTGAAGTACAGTCCTCGGTCACCTGTCCTTCCCAAGGAGCAAAGCAGCTTTCTGACACTGATGGTGAAAACATAAGAACGTTATTTAAAAAAGTATATTTCGGTCCATACAAAGCCTCAGTTATAAATGGAAATCCATTAGGAGCAAATGTAAATGAATTTTGGTCTGGGTGCTCATGGCCAGCATTGAAATTCCTCCATCCCTTTACCCAATCTTGGTATTTGTTTTTGTGAACAATGTCAAATATTGCACGTCCTCCAAGTTTTCCTGATTTGAAGGAAATAAATGGCCTGTTGATCTCTGCAGGTAAAGAGCTTCCATAGGTCACTACTCCCCAGTCTTCAAAAACATGCAGTCTTGGGGTCCCAAAATCTGGTGGTGGTGTAGGCGTCAACAAAGCATCATACCTAAGTATACAAAGATAAGGGACACATTTAAATACTATCAGCCAAATCAAGTTCTGGCAATTTTCCAGCATAATTATTTGCACAACTTTTTAAATTTTTTTGGTTGCTACTAGTTTACCTTTTCCTTGTATTACTTAATAGCACTTGAACACCTAAAAGTGCCATAAAATGAAAACGTCAATCAAAACAAAACAAAAAAAGTATTAAAGTGTAGCTCCAACCAGAAGTGTTCTTTCCTAGTTATGGTAAAGTATGGAAGGGTTTTCATTTTTTTTTTTTAATGAGGGTCTCACTACAGAACTCAGTGGTAACAAATACAGATATGATCATGACTTTGCATTTGTCCTGAGTCTAGCAAGCTCTGTAAAGAATATTGAATAAATCAGAGCAGAAACAAAGGGGTGAATACAAGCCCTCTGCTAATAAGATGTACACAGTATATTTATTTCATAAGATTTTTAGTGCCCGTTTCAATAAAATATAGAAGTCTGATAGCACAGCTCCCGTGATCTGTCTACTTACCAAAGAAACTCTGTGTGCAAAGTGCACCAACGTTGTCCTTTGGCAGGGGTCCCTGGTCCTTCTTGCACTCTGTTGGCTTGGATTTGTTCTGCCAACCAATTTCCACTTCCATTTCTCAGAACAAACTTATCTAAAAATACTAACTGACTCTCGGGACCATAAAACCAGTTGTAGTTCGAATCTGCTATGGCAACTGTTCTCTGAAAACCTAGAACACAGCACATGGTATAAAATCAATATATACTATATTGCAAAATGAAGTCACTATTTTGCAGATGGAGAATTGAACATGTATCAAATAATTCACCCGATTATTCAGATGCACCACAAAATGTATTATGTATAATGAGCAGTAAATTACAATAATGATGGTTTAAATTCTGGCTGTGATGGAAACAGAAGGTGAACACAAATATTACTGAAAAAACATTACAAGCATATAACAAGACCTTTGTTATGGCATGATTAAAGAATAAAAGGTACAGCAATATCAGTGGAGCAAAACGTTATTATAGTTTTAAAATACAGTCAACAATCATAGTAAGAACTGAGGATAGTTGAAAATGGGTTGGTGTATCTCTAAAATTAGTCATAAACCTGTAGATCTTGTTAACAAGCCTGACGATCAAATGAACAGATCTTAAATAAAAGATAGTGATTTTCTTATGTTTGAACAATATACCAGGTTTTGTATATAAGCAATTAAAAGATATCTAAGCCCAACAGAAAAAAAGCAACCTGTAAAATTTTGCAGCTTATCAGCCCTTCAATGTGGTCGCTGCATTCATGGTGGTGGCAGCATGAAGAGCAAAGAAAAAGAGGATGACATTTGTACTCATCAGTGGAGCATCCTAGGGTGACAACTCTGATTCCCTCCAGATACACTTCTATGAGTGTCTAACCGAGCGCTGGTTAATCTTGCAGGAGTTTTCATTCTCCTATGATTGTCCTATGAGGATGCATGACCCCTGACCCTGTGTCCAGTCAGTGCTGATTGACCCTGTGCTGTTTATATGCACCCTCCCAAAAAAGAAAAAAAACCCCTCTCTAGCAATACACACCAAACAGAGCACGTGTAGACTGTGTAGGCACTACTGCTCTAACTATTGCAGATGGATTGGGCATAGTAAAAGGAGAGGATCAGAGAAGAGAGGATCAAACAGCCTTTTTACACAATGCAGAGGATTACCCGTTAGGTTCCACAGTGAGTATAACAAGCATGCTTTACTGCATATACAGACTGATTTTACTGCTGTGGGTTTAGTAACACAATTTTTAATATAAAAGCAATAACACGTTTGACAGCTAAACACGCTTCTAGTTTCATGAGTATAATATCTTACTTTAACCACCTCCCGCCCGTCATATAAGGAAATGACGGGCGCAATGCGGTTCTCTCGTTCTGGGAGGATGTCATATGATGTCCTCCCACTCTAACCGCGCATGCGCGGCTCTGGAGGCGCGTTGCGCAGCGATCAGTGGTGCGCTGTGTCCCACCGATCAATGGAAAGAGCCAAAGACGTCGGCTCGGTCATGTGATCAGCTGCGTCCAATCACAGCTGTTCGTATGTAAATAAGGAAATGCCGGTTAGCGGCATTTCTCTCCTCACGAGCTGTCACGCTTACACGCTGTCACCTATCAGTGCCCATCACTGCAGCCTCATTAGCGCACATCAGTGAAGGAGAAAAAAATCACTTATTTACATTTTATAACAAAAACTAAGGAAAAACTTTTTTTTCAAAATTTTCAGTTGTTTTTGGTTTGTTTAGCAAAAAATATAAAAAACCCAGGAGGTGATTAAATACTACCAAAAGAAAGCTCTGTCACAAAAAAATGATAAAAATTTCATATAAGTACAGTGTTGCATGACCGCGCAATTGTCATTCAAAGCATGACAGCGCTGAAAGCTGAAAATTGGTCTGGGCAGGAAGGGGGTATAAGTGCCCGGTAGGCAAGTGGTTAAACAAGTTGCAATGGTTGTTAAATCAGTTTAATTACATGCGCGCAAAGGTTCACTTTGCCATAGTGGTAAACTGAAAGTGAGAATGGATATAGAATATTTTCTTTCTATGAATCAACCTCAGGCAGTCAAGACTTGCAATTACAGTGCTGATTCATGTTTTGTGCGGTTATAGTGGCATATGGTGCTTTGTAAACAAGTCAGAGAACAGCTAGTTCTTCAAAGAATACTTGATGGACAGAGAAGACAACTTTACTCACAAAAAGCCAGACACAGCTATGCAAGCACTTTTCTAACTGTCCTAAGTAAATATAAAACGTCAATACGAAAAAGGAAAAAAGTTACATCATGAAAATACACAGTCAGTCATTCAATAGAAGGGCATTGTTTAAGATAAAATCAGACACAAGTCACAAGTCACACTGAGGAAAATTGCTGGATCTTCCGCAAAATGTCTCATACACACAAAATATTTCTGGTTAAAGCTGAATAAATAAAAACCTTTGAGACTGCAGAGGGTTTTCTTTATCCAAGCCCAATTGGTATTATATTACTGCCTATTTAATAGAATTAATTTAAAGTGTCACTAAACCCAGAACTTAAAGTGGTATTAAACCCAAAACATATTATATTGCAGTTTGTCAATCATGAGATGTGGTAGTTGCATTTGTTTTCTTTTTTCCCTTTGTTTTAACCTGTGATCTGACCAGTATCACACGTCCGATGTTAGTGAGACACCATTCTGAATGAAGGAGCACATTGGGGAGCACAGCAGGCAGCAGCATTGTCAGTCTGGGAGGAGGGGGTGTTATAAGTACTAGCCAATTTAGATACACCGACAAATTGAAGTCAAACTCCAGCTCACACTTTATAAGCAGTTACAGCAACATTTGTTTCTTTTTGTGATAATGGTTTTACATAAATAAATAACAGCTGACCATTGTAAGCACTGGTTTGTCCCAATCCTCTAACTGCTAAATCTGAAAGACAGTTTGTTCTTTGTAAAACAACAGACTTACTGGCAGGTGGATCAGGTGAAAGTAAGAGAAAGAAAGCCCCAAAAAAGAAAACTAATCCATCCACCACCTCTATGAAACGCTAAGCTGCAATATAATAATTGTTTGCTTGTAGTAAAGTGTACTACTTTAAGATACAAACATATATATTTGATTTTGCATGCTGTTAGTCACTATTAAGAGTCCATGCAAGTCCCTATTCAGAATGGCAACACTCTTCTAACATACTCCAAATTCTTTGTATGGCAGCTGAAGACTTCCTGTTTCGTCCTCAGCAATCTGCCCCATGTGGCACTTCTGCAAGTCACACATGGTGACTCAAGGATTGCGATGGACAGCTCCACTGCATATCATTGCTGCCTTTTTGAATAAGTGGGAGTTCTGGTGGTTCTGGTGGTCACATAATTGAACAAAAATAAAATATAAATATTACATAAAACAAAACACAAGTAAGCAGTATTCACATTTATATGTTCTCCTTTATAATGTTTTGTTTACATTTAGATTGGCTGAAAAAAAAAACAAACAAACAATAAACATGAATTCCAGAGCTCTGCCCACTTGCAGATAGCCAGCAATGATAAACACAGTAGAGCGATGAAGAAATGCTCCACCTTCAAGTACGATCCTTGAGCTGCCCTGTATGACTTGCAGAAGTGTCTCTTCAATGATAAAGAGCATAATAAGTAAAGTTGATCACGAAAGAGGAGATGACAGAGTAATGACAGAATGAAAAATGTATAAAAGCTTTTGAAGCTGGTAGCCAAATCAGAAAATTATATATATATATATATATATATATATATAGGGAGCTGGGAGGGGAGGGGGTGCACTGCTGGTGCTGATCCTGTCACACGGAGCGGCTGCCAACACTTGGTATAGGGATCATTAGGCTTTCTCCTCCCTCCAGCCTGCCAGGGGGTGATATACAGCCGGCATGAAGCAGTGAAGGCAGAGTGTCCTTCCTCTCTCCTTCTCTCCGGAGGGGGGAAGAAAGGAGAAGCTGCATTCACAAGAAGATCTGTGAGTACAAGGGAGCAGGTGGGGGGGGGGGGGGTTACAACTGATGTAAGGGGGCACTGTGATGGGGACACTTGATGCAAAGGGGGACACCTGATGCAAAGAGGGGACACCTGATGTAAAGGGAGACTTTGACGAAATACCTGATGTAAGGGGGACTCTGACTGGGACACCTGATGTAAAGGGAGACTCTGATAGGGGACACCTAATGTAAATGGGGACTCTGATGGAGATACCCAATGTAGAGGGGGACTCTGATGGGGACACCCGGTAAAGGGGGACTCTGATGGGGACACCCGGTGTAAAGGGGGACACCGGATATGAAGGCGGACTGTGGTGAGGACACCTGATGTAAAAGGACACTCTGATGTGGATTCCTGGTGTAAAGGGGGACCCTGATGGGGACACCTGGCGTAAATGGGGACCCTCAATGGGGACACCTGGTATAAATGGGGACTCTGATGGGGACACCTGGCGTAAATGGGGACCCTGATGGGGACACCTGGTAAAATGGGGACTCTGATGGGGACACCTGGTGTAAATGGGGACTCTGATGGAAACACCTCATGTAAGGTGGAACATCTGATATAAAGAGGGACTCTGATGGAGACACCTGATGTAAAGGGGAATTCTGATGGGGACACTGGATTTGTAGTCCTCTATAGCTGGTGGCATTCTGCATTGCTGTATAATGTATTGCTTGGATTTGTACTCCTTTAGAGCTGGTGGTATTTGCACTGCTAAATTATGTATTGCAGGAATCTGTAGTCCTCTATAGCTGGTGCTATTCTGCATTGCTGTATAATGTATTGCTTGGTTTTGACTATGTAAAGCACATATTTTCCTTTTAAGTTTACATTGCTTTATGGGTTTTTTTGTATTGTAATTCTTTATTTAGGAAGGCATTGTGCATATACAAGAAGTACCATCACATAGTAAACAATAAAGAAGATCTACATGCATTTTGAAACGGTTATATGTGCCGCAAGGCACAACGGTTCACAATGTTCCTGGGATCAGGAGTAATAGGCCATATACATCCCATCTGTTACATATAACTATTGTAAGGCCACTCATGCAGGAAATGTAGGGCGATGAGCCTGCAATACACAAAGTCTAAAACAAAATTTTATATTTGAAAACCCAGAATCGGTCCGTCATGCAAACAAGGAGAGAAAAAAAAAAAAAAGGGGGGGGAAACTACTAATCTTCTTAACTCACTGGGAAGGAAGAAGGGAGAAAAAAAAAAGTGTGTGTGTGTGTGGGGGAGGGGAAGGAGAGAGAGAGAGAGAGAGAGAGAGAGAGAGAGAGAGAGAGAGAGGAGGACAGAGTGGGGGCTGACAGAGTACCGGAGACAAAGCTGGGGGGTGGAGGGCAGAGTAGCACAGGGCCCTCTGTTCCTTCTACCCCCCTCCCCCCCTGCAATACCAATCATATGGTTTGGTGGCTATTTTACCAAAGGTGACTTAGAAGAAGTCTCAATCCCTCCCAGAGGAGTTGGGCACCTCATCCAGATATTGCGCTGAGCAAGTATACATCGTCCAAGGCCGCCACGTCTTCCTTATTGTTAAGGGAGGCAGTAAGGCTTTCCATTGAATTAATTTAATTCAACTTCGCAAACCAGTGACCCATAGTTGGGGGAGAGGTTTGCTTCCACAAATCCGGAATGCATGCCTGTGCCGCATTCAAAAGATGGACTGCCAGGGAGCGTCTATAGCAGCGTAGCAGTACCGAGTTGAGATGAAAGAGGTAGGTCAATGGGTCTGTTCCCAGATCAATGGAGGTCAGCTGTAAGACTAAGTTCCTCACTCTCCTCCTGAACTGAGTCAGCAGAGAACATTGCCAGAAGACATGCAGTAAAGTGCCTTCCTCCCTCTGACATCGCCAACACAAACTGGAGATTGAGGGGTAAAATTTGTTCAATAGCACCGGGACCCTATACCACCTGGACAAAAGTTTGTATCCCTGCTCTTGGAAACAATTAGCTACCGAGGAATTGTGAGCTAATTGAATGATCCGGACATTGCTTTATGTTAATATTGTTAAAGTTGTTGTTAATATTAATTGGTGGTGAGTAACTCTTAATGCCTGGCTAGTAGCCGTGTGTGTGTGTGTGTATATACACACACATATATACAAACACACACTGTATGAACTGTGTGCTCCATTTTACGCTCTCATGGTTACTTAAGGTTTTAAACCAGTTTGATCATTTTCCATAAATCAAAATTAGGAAGGGGGACAAACAATATGGGACAAGCATCTTGGCCGGCACATCAGTACTCAAAATTAATTATTTTATTAACTCATTATTTAAAAGTCCACATTAAATTACCCAAACATAATGAAGCCTAAAAAGAATACAGTTTGAAATATACACAGCAGCTTTGCCCTATAGCTCAAATGTATCATCACAAAAATAATGTTATGGAAGTGTTATCATACTCTGATGTTGTGAAAAAAAAAAAGCACACTAATGTATATAGGCTAATTGATCAGCTCCACATTGGCCTATGTAATTATACCTATACCACAGCATAGAATCAACACATAACGTCCATAGGAGCTGATCATGTTGTTAAAGAAACTGTGTGCTTGAGGATAAAATGTGCTGCAGTGTAAGCATGCCCTTGAGCCCTAGATCAGTCTTTCTCAACCTTTTTACCCAAATAATGTTTGGGTCTCGGGGAACCCCAGCTAAAACCAATATATTGGGGGTAGTGTGAAGAAAAACCCACCTTGCAGTCATGTTCAAACTGACACCATTATAGATAGCTAAATGATTTGTGTCATACCACTGACTCATCATGTGGCATTTGACCCAAAACTAAGCAGGAGCTATCAAATGGGAGGCCAATCAGGCATAGCTCAAGGAATCCCTGGCAACCTCTGGAGGAGCCCTAGGGTTTGTTAGTCATGTCTTGGACGCTTTGCGCAACAGACTACTGACATTCTCTGTTATCTCCACAGTACCCATTAGTTCGTTTAGGCATAGAGGAAATCCATTTTACAAATGCAATTTTGTATATCCATGTAAGATTCAACCATTTGAAGAGAGTGACATTATATCCTAAAGTGTGTGTATTGGATGCATCTTCAGCCTTAAGCTTACACTGGATTGTATTTTATCTTCAAGCACACAATTCTTTAACAACTTGATCAGCACCTATGGAGATTATTGTGTTGATTACCATGCTTCTATACTTCCATGCACAGTAACTCCCCTATACAGTACCTTCAATACCTATATCTCCTAAGCTATGCAGGAGCCTAAAGGGCATGAGCACTGGATAGCTGATGATTGAAAAAAGTCATCCCTTTAAGTGAGTCCTTGTGTCACCATATTGGCAGGTGCAGGTGTTGAAAAATCCATTTAGAGTAAACTCATGCATGGCATTTGTCGAAGGAAGTATCCAACTACATTATTAACCTTGTTGAGTGCTGCAAGCAAAGATGTCTACATTGTAGCTTTAACCACTTGCCTATCAGGCACTTATACCTCCTTCTTTACCAGGTCAATTTTCAGCTTTCAGCGCTGTCGCACTTTGATTGACAATTGCGCAGTCATGCAAGATTGTACTCATATGAATTTTTTTTTCTCACAAATAGAGCTTTCTTTTGGTGGTATTTAATCGCTGCTGGGCACTTTACTTTCTGCACTATAAACAAAAAAATTGCAAACAATTTGAAAATTTCTTTGTTTCTATTATAAAATTTTCAAACAGGTAATTTTTCTCTCCTTCACTGATGTGCGTTGATGAGGCAGCACTGATAGGCACTAATAGGCGGCACTGATGGGCACTGATAGGCAGCACTGATGGGCACGTATAGGCAGCACTGATAGGTGGCACTGATAGGCAGCACTAATGAGGTGGCACGGATAGGCAGCACTAATGAGGTGTCACGGATAGGCCGCACTGATAGACAGCACTGATAGGTGGCACTGACTGGCATCACTGCTGGGCACTGACTGGCGGCACTGCTAGACATTGACTGGCGCAACTGCTGGGCACTGACTGGCACAACTGCTGGGCACTGACTGGCACAACTGCTGGGCACTGAATGGCACAATCACTGGGCACTGACTGGCAGCACTGCTGGGCTGCACTGATGGGAACTGGTGGGCACAGGTGGGTGGCACTGATGGGCACATGTGGGTGGCACTTTCTGAGCACAGGTGTGTGGCACTGCTGGGTGGCACAGGTGGGTGCACTGCTAGGCACAGGTGGGTGCACTGCTGGGCAAAGGTGGGCGGAACTGGTGGGCGGCAGTGCTGGGCACAGGTGGGTGGAACTGGTGGGCGGCACTGCTGAGCAGCAATCATCAGGGCACTGATCATCAGTGCCCTGATGATCGGTGCCGATCCCTGATCTGACAACGCGTTCTGACAGCGTGAGGGAAGTGCAGCCGAGAACCGGCAATTGCATTTCCCGGTGATCAGCGTGTCATTGGACACGGCTGATCACGTGGTAAAAGGCCGCTGTGATTGGCCTTTTACCACATCACGTGATCAGCTGTGTCTGTAGAACGCAGCGATCACGGAGATCGCCGGGTGTGCGCCCCCGGGGGCGTGCAGGAGAGCGCATTCTTGGAGGACGTCATATTACGCCCTCCCAGAACTGGCCAGCCGCAGTGTAGCCGTTATTTGGCTATCTGCGGTCGGCAAGTGTTTAAACGTTGGACATAACATTCCCATGATGTGTGGCATGCTGTTACTGTGGCCACTGCAGGGGTGGACTGACAACTCATGGGGCCCCCGGGCAATAGGGGATCATGGGGCCCCTGTGTCCTTGCCCAAACTCAAAAAAGCTTATGAAAAAGGTACCAGGGGCATCTCATGGAGGCCCCTACAGACCCCAGGCCATCGGGCAGTGCCCGAGTTTCCAAATGGTCAGTCCGCCCCTGGGCCACTGCACAGACTCCAAAAAACCAAATCACATCACATCTAGTGACATAATTTCAAATAAATGGAAAGTTATTATTTAAATGCACCACTTTAATGTCTCTTACCTGGCAGGATAGTTCTGTACATAAAAGCAAAATGCTCTTTTAACCAAGGATGGTTGAAGTGGTCGATATCAAAATGCCTTTGGACAAGAAACATATACTGAAAAAGTGATCTGGTGGTGTAGCTGCCATAGGCCACGCCTTCATACAGTGACCCATCTGTCACATCATTTAACAGGACTATTGACTTCTCCATTATGGTGAGAACCTGTTTTGTCCAGAAGTAAGCTTCTTGCAAGTACCCTGTAAAAAAAAGGAAAGTTTAACATTTTATAACATTTATTAATATCACAGCCTGACTGAAGTACACATTAGCTGCTTAAATATCTCCAGGACATCTAAAAATAAGGGGTTTTAAAAGCGACCCTTTGCAAAAGAAAGACTATTTTTTATTTCTTTGGTGGTCTGTCCTACTGATTTTGTTCAGTTTAAGCTTTACAGCATTTGTCAGGAACTTCAGGATTTTATGCATTTGGGAGTAAACAGGACTTGCATATCCCACCATGTATGAGTGGTTTCATACTCTGATCCTAACATCACTTCTGTGTTATGAGGTACATCACTGCTGTGTTGTGAGGTATGAAGTAGGACAAAAGAACTACAGAAATACTTTACACTGAAGCGAAGTTTGGTGGCAAAGGCCAGCTATGAGAAATATGCCTCTTCTTTTGCATGAAACAGTCTAAGATTTTTTTTACAAACCAACAGTGTTACTCTAAAGCGGATCTTCACCCTCAGTTTGATATTGTCTCCTCTCCACTACTCCACACCACAATGCACAGAACTTGTTTATGCCTGATGCCCACTGTGCCTCCTGGGATATGTACTTCTATATCCCAGGAGGTACAGTCCTTCATTGAGGAAGGAGGAGAGGGGCAGGCCTATCAGCACATCATCAGGAGAGCCGCTGGCTGAACCTGGAAAAGCTGGCAGCTTCCTGAAGATGTTATACAAAAAGATGGCAGCGTGAACCGAGAAGGGGACAGAAGAGAAAAGGATCTCAGCAGAACGCTAGATCTGCTGGGCAGGTGAATATCTTAACTGTGCAGAACACGCAACCAAGGATTAACCGCTTTGCCCTGCCCTATAGCAGAAATACAGCTACAGGGCAGTACGGGTGCACAAAATCGTATGTGTGTGTGTGTGTGTGCGCGTGCTTTTGCAGTTCTGGGTATGTGGCGCGCGCGCCTTACCTGCACTGCAATTCACAGCCTCGGCTGTCAATCACTGGGTCCTGGCCGGTGATTGCCTGCTGGCACCTGGCGATCACCGACGAGGGAGAGACCTGTGTATAAACCACACAGATCTCTCCCCTGTCAGCTCCTGCACACTGCTTTGTATGGCTCAGCATAGCAGAGACATACAAATCAGTGTGCTTACAGTGTAACGCAGACACACAGCGCACAGTTATTAGCACTGATCACTGTATTGGTATCACTGGGGATGTCAGTGACACCATGTCAGTTCCCCCCAGTGTCAGTATGCCCACTGCAGTCCCGCTATAAGTCGCTGATCACCGCCATTACTAGTAAAAAAATAAAAAATTCCAGTATATATACCGCCATTTGTAAACGCTATAACGTTCAGTTCACGTAAACCAATTCATTTACATGTATTGGGATTTTTTTTTAGCAAGGACATGTAGCAGAAAACATTTTGGCCTACATTTATGATGAAACTTGATTTTTTTTACATTTTTTTAATGGATGTGTTTAATAGCAAAAAGTTAAAAATATATTTTTTTTTTCAAAATTGGTCTTTTTTTGTTTATAAAAATAAGAAAACGCAGAGGTGATCAAATACCACCGAAAGAAAGCTCAATTTGTGTGGGGAAAAAAAAGGATGTAAATTTAGTTTGGGTGCAGTGTTGCATGACCGCACAATTGTCAGTTAAAGTAACGCAGCGCCATATCGCAAAAAATAGCCTGGACAGGGGAAGGGGGGGGTAAATCCTCTGGAGGGCAAGCAGTTAAATAAAATTTGGGGTAAGGGGATGTTGAAGAACTGCAAGATAGTAAAGTCATGGAAATCATTGCCTTCTGTACACTATGTTTAAATAAGGAATAATATATTTAGAGCTACAGTATATTCTGCCTATATTCTGCATTCCATAGTCCCACCCTTCCCTCCCCATCAACATGCCAAAGACATTTTTCATTAAAACCTTTCCATTTTCATTACATACCTTATTTTAGGCCCAGTGATGACATCACTGGGTCTGTGCTTTTCTATGCAAGCAGGCAAACCATGGCTGCTGAAAGGGCAGCAGGATGCTTTACACAGCTTCCTGAAAACATCACAGCACCTTGCCTCAGTACCTTCAAGAGCCTTCAGCCCTGATGCAAGCAATGAGTTGGCTCCTGAGAGGAGTTATGCAAATATCAATGGATTGATGTCAGTCTGGAGGAATGGGTATACCTAGGCAGATGCAGATGAAGAAATGAGGCAGGCTCTGAAGTTTGAACCTGCAACTTCTAATTCATACTGTGAAGAGCTCACAGTGTGCAGTAAAATCACAGTAAGCAATTTTAGTACAGGAGCATGTAAACTGTGCAAGGCTAAATGAACTCTATAAATACAATTTCCTTTGTATTCTGAAGTGAAGAAGTTTTCATTTCTTCCACTTAAAGAAGGCTCCACAGTGGATTAGTGGGGTGTTTTTTTCTATTTACATAAAATGTCCACATCACCAAAACCTGTTTGGTTTTGCTTTCCTCAGAACAAATGTACACAAAGTAAAATTTTACAGACAAAGCGATGTGAAGCACTTCAGTGGAATTCCCTTTTTTAAATTACAGCTGTACTCATTATCTTTCTACACAATTTATTTTAACAGCTAGCTGCAGGGTCTTGCAATTTATCATGAAAGTTAACCAGTAGCAGATTACTGCTGTTCCAGAATATCATACATTATACAAAGGGTAATGACCACTTGAATGTTGCTCACATGACAATTGTGTTCTTTTGTAAATGACTGTTTAACCCAGGGGTCCTCAAACTTTTTAAACAGGGGGCCAGTTCACTGTCCCTCAGACCGTCGGAGGGCCGGACTATATTTTAAAAAAACAAAAACAAAACTATGAACAAAATGCGGACACAGTACAGGAGATGACCAGAGACTGCGGACACACAACGGCAGCGGGAATACTGGGCCGTCCGCTCCATAAGACAGACAGACATTTCCCCCCAAGTGTGTCTTATGGAGCGAAATAGTGCACCATCATTGGTGTCAGTGGGAGGAATAGTGCCCCATCATTGGTGTCAGCGGGAGGAATAATGCCCCATCATTGGTGTCAGCGGGAGGAATAGTGCCCCATCATTGGTGTCAGCGGGAGGAATAGTGCCCCATCAATGGTGTCAGCGGGAGGAATAGCGCCCCATCATTGGTGTCAGCGGGAGGAATAGCGCCCCATCATTGGTGTCAGCGGGAGGAATAGCGCCCCATCATTGGTGTCAGCGGGAGGAATAGCGCCCCATCATTGGTGTCAGCGGGAGGAATGCGCCCCATCATTGGTGTCAGGGGAGGAATAGCGCCCCATCATTGGTGTCAGGGAGGGAATAGCGCCCCATCATCGGTGTCAGTGAGAGGAATAGCGCCCCATCATTGGTGTCAGTGGGAGGCATAGTACCCCCATCATTAGTGTCAGTGGGGGGAGGAATAGTACACCATTATGGGGTCAGTGGGGGGAGGAATAGTGCCCCATTGTTGGTGTCAGTGTGGGGCGGAAGAATAGCGCCCCGTCATTGGTGTCAGTGGGAGAAGGGATGTCCCAACATTGGTGTGAGTGGGAGGAATAGTGCCCCATCATTGTGGTGTCAGTGAGAAGAATAGTGCTCCATCATTGGTGTCAGTGGGAGGAATAGTGCCTCATCTTTGTTGTCAGTGGGGGGAGGAATAGTACGTCATTGGTGTCAGTGGGGGGAATGTGCAGTCACTGGTGTCAGTGGGAGGAATAGAATAGTGGGGGGGGAATAGTGCCCCATCGTTGGTGTCATTGTGTCCCCATGTCAGTGGGAGGAATAGTACGTCATTGTGTAAGGGAAATAGTGCCCCGTCATTAGTGTCAGTGGGGGATAGATCGTTGGGGGAGGATAGTGTTCCCATCGTTCCAGTTGGTGTCAGTGGGAGGAATAGTGTTCCATCGTTGGTGTCAGTGGGAAGAATAGTGCTCCCATCATTGGTGTCAGTGGGAGGAATAGTGCCTCATCTTTGTTGTCATCGTGGTGGGGAATAGTACCATCATTGGTGTCAGTGGGGGGGAATAGTGCTCCCGTCACTGGTGTCAGTGGGAGGAATAGCGTTCCAGGTGTCAGTGGGAGGATTGGTTCCCCATCGTTGGGTCAGTGGGAGGAATAGTGCCCCATCGTTGGTGTCAGTGGGAGGAATAGTGTCCCATCGTTGGTGTCAGTGGGAGGAATAGTACGTCATTGTGTCAGTGGAGAGGAATAGTGCCCCGTTGGTGTCAGTGGGAGGAATAGTGTTCCAACGTTTGTGTCAGTGGGGGAATAGCGTTCCATCGTTGGTGTCAGTGGGAGGAATAGTGTTCCATCGTTGGTGTCAGTGGGAGGAATAGCGTTCCATCGTTGGTGTCAGTGGGAGGAATAGCGTTCCATCGTTGGTGTCAGTGGGAGGAATAGCGTTCCATCGTTGGTGTCAGTGGGAGGAATAGTGTTCCATCGTTGGTGTCAGTGGGAGGAATAGTGTTCCATCGTTGGTGTCAGTGGGAGGAATAGTGTTCCATCGTTGGTGTCAGTGGGAGGAATAGTGTTCCATCGTTGGTGTCAGTGGGAGGAATAGTGTTCCATCGTTGGTGTCAGTGGGAGGGATAGTGTTCCATCGTTGGTGTCAGTGGGAGGGATAGTGTTCCATCGTTGGTGTCAGTGGGGGGGGGATAGTGTTCCATCGTTGGTGTCAGTGGGGGGATAGTGTTCCATAGTTGGTGTCAGTGGGGGGGATAGTGTTCCATCGTTGGTGTCAGTGGGAGGAATAGTGTCCCATCATTGGTGTCAGTGGAAGGAATAGTGTCCCATCATTGGTGTCAGTGGGAGGAATAGTGCCCCATCGTAGGTGTCAGTGGGGGGAATAATGCCCCATCATTAGTATCAGTGACACCAATGATGGGGCACTATTCCTCCCACTGACCCCTGTTCCAGCCTAGGTGTACTGCAGCCAGCATACCTGGTTGCAGCAGCACCATCTACATGGCATACTTACCTGTCAGCTGTCTTTCTTCACTCCGGCCTCTCCCTCACTCGATGTTAGCGGGGCCGCTCTAGCTCCGCCTCCTCGCAGGTGATTGGCCGCCTGTGTGCCTTTCCTGAGCTACAGTGCTGGCGCCCAATCACTGGTGAGGAGGCGGAGCCGAGCGGCAGGAGTGTGAGGGAGTGGCCGGAGTGAATTAAGGAGCAGCGCTTCCTGGACTGGATCGTCGTGGGACTGGTACCGGAGCCAGGTAAGATATAGCAGCCCCCTGCCCGCCCCTGTACTTCGTGTCCCTTCCTGTCCCGCCCCTGCCGGCGGGCCGGATAAATGGTCTCGGCGGGCCGTAGTTTGAGGTCCCCTGGTTTAACCTGTAACAGCTATCAAGATGCAGGATACCTTTGTATTGATTAAAAGTATGGCCAAACCTTTTTTGTCCATACTTCTCTTGTGGGTCAAAGTAGTGCACTTACTTTTGCTCTCCTGTGACCCAGAGTCAGCTTATAGCTGGGCTATTGACCTTTCAGCTGACATGACAGCGCTGCTCCAGGCTTTGAAAGGATCCCAACTATATTGTCGGGATACACCCAGCTGTCTAAATGACAGATGGCTTCAGCTTTCAGCATGCAGCTGAGAGCCAAAGCCAACTGCACGCACTCCTTCCCGAGCCTGACACTCCAGTGAACATTGAAGGGGCTGAGCAGGGAGCAGTGACTGACAGACTAAGAGATGAATGATCAGAGGTCCTGTGATCGACTAGTTCTCGGTCTTAGAGCCGATGCGGGACAGCTGCAGAAACACACCAATGCTGCAGCATGGAGGTATGTACTCAGGGATGTTCAATTTATATCGCTGGGACATGTAGTTCCAGTGCTGGGCAGGTAGTTTTTTTTAACCTTTAGCCCTGCTGCAGGCAAACACTTGTCAGGTGGAAGCATTCAGGCGGCTGCACTGCCACGCAAATGCTTCCACACACTCCGCTACAGTGTCAGCCTCCAGCAGCCCCCCCCCTTCTCCTCTCGCTATGTCTCCCGGGCTCCGCTTGCCCCTCTGTGGGCCCAAGACAGATTCAGCAAGTGATGGCGGGTATAGGGGAGGGGAGTGGTCACATCTGCTCCCCTCCCCTTCTTGTCCTGACCCAGAAGTGACGTTGTGACGTCACTTCAAAGTTCCCGTCGACAGATTTCCCGGCCAGGAAAGAATGTAATGCAGTGCGATGTGCACTGCATTATATCAAGTGGAGTACAGGGGAGACATCCAGGGTCTTTTAGACCTTGGATGTCTTAATAAAGAGAACCTATCACCAAAAATCATAAAATGGTGGACTTTGTCCCCTATGTAAAAGGAAAAAAAAAGTTTTGTAAAAAATGTAAGTTTTACCTAAGCACATAACCCCCCCCCCAATAAAAAAACTGAGCCCCCCCCCCACATACATATGCATGTACAAAGCATATGCTGGGGCGCCTATGCATGAAAATGTCAATTGCGATACACATGTGCCATATCACCACGCACAGCAGAATGAGACCACTAATTCTAGCAGCAGACCTCTTCCATAACACTAAACTGATGACCTACAGGTGAAACTCGAAAAATTAGAATATCGTGCAAAAGTTCATTTATTTCAGTAATGCAACTTAAAAGGTGAAACTAATACATGAGATAGACTCATTACATGCAAAGCAAGATAGTTCAAGCCGTGATTTGTCATAATTGTGATGATTATGGCTTATAGCTCATGAAAACCCCAAATCCACAATCTCAGAAAATGAGATTACATGCAATCAATAAAACAAGGATTGTACATAGAACAATATCGGACCTCTGAAAAGTATAAGCATGCATATGTACTCAGTACTTGGTTTGGGCCCCTTTTGCAGCAATTACTGCCTCAATGTGGCATGGTATGGAAGCTATCAGCCTGTGGCATTGCTGAGGTGTTATGGAAGACCAGGATGCTTCAATAGCGGCCTTCAGCTCTTCTGCATTGTTCGGTCTCATGTCTCTCATCTTTCTCTTGGCAATGCCCCATAGATTCTCTATGGGGTTCAGGTCAGGCGAGTTTGCTGGACAATCAAGCACAGTAATCCCACGGTCACTGAACCAGGTTTTGGTGCTTTTGGCAGTGTGGGCAGGTGCCAAGTCCTGCTGTAAAATTAAGTCAGCATCCCCATAAAGCTCGTCTGCGAAAGGAAGCATGAAGTGCTCCAAAATCTCCTGGTAGATGGCTGCGTTGACCCTGGACTTATTGAAGCACAGTGGACCAACACCAGCAGATGACATGGCTCCCCAAATCACTGGACTTCAATCATCTTGCAGTGTGTGCCTCTCCATTCTTCCTCCATACTCTGGGTCCTTGGTTTCCAAATAAGATGCAAACGTTGCTCTCATTAGAAAAGAGGACTTTGGACCACTGAGCAACAGACCAGGTCTGTTTTTCTTTAGCCCAGGTAAGACGTTTCTTGTTCAGGAGCGGCTTGACAAGAGGAATACGACATTTGAAGCCCATTTCCAGGATCCATCTGTGTGTGGTGGCTCTTGATGCACTGACTCCAGCCTCAGTCCACTCCTTGTGAAAGTCCCCAACACTTTTGAATGGCCTTTTCCTGACAATCCTCTCCAGGCTGCAGTCATCCCTGCTGCTTGTGCGCCTTTTTATTCCATACTTTTCCCTTCCACATAATGTTTTATTAATGTGCTTTGATACAGCACTTTGGGAACATCCAACTTCTTTTGCAATTACCTTTTGAGGCTTTCCCTCCTTATGGAGGGTGTCAATGATGGTTTTCTGCACAACTGTCAGGTCAGCAGTCTTTCCCATGATTGTGATTCCTACTGAACCAGACTGAGAGACCATTTAAGGGCTCAGGAACCCTTTGCAGGTGTTATGGCTTAATTAGCGGATTAGAGTGGGACACTTTAAGCCTAGAATATTGCACCTTTTCACAATATTCTAATTTTCTGAGATTGTGGATTTGGGGTTTTCATGAGCTGTAAGCCATAATCATCACAATTATGACAAATCACAGCTTGAACTATCTTGCTTTGCATGTAATGAGTCTATCTCATATATTAGTTTCACCTTTTAAGTTGCATTACTGAAATAAATGAACTTTTGCACGATATTCTAATTTTTCGAGTTTCACCTGTATAAGGAGCTTTTATATTTTTACCAAAAATTGGGTAATTTATTGCTTTTTTGTGCCATAAAATTAACTTAACCTAAGTGTATTTTTTACTGACATTTTGCATTTCCTAGACCTTTGTGGTAATATCGTGTGACATAAAAATTGGAACTACCATAATTGTATTCTCTAAGGTGTCTGCTTTCAGAAAATATATGTTTGGGGAGTATAGTGTAATCTCCAGGCCTAAAATGATTTTTTAAATGTGTGCAAAAATGGCTCTGGCAGTGAAAGGGATAAAGGATAAGCCCAACACTCCCCTTTCCTGAGAAGCACCCAATCGGTGCTCATTACACTGCAAGGTCTCTCCTCCCTGCTAGTCCCCGGGTGTTGTGCTGGAGACAGGCATGGAGGTGAGGAGCAGATAAACTGCGCAATGTTAAAAATATAAACCGTTTAACTCACCATAAAAACCCTGACATTCCTAAAAGCACCTCGAATTTAAATATGATTTTGGTTACTTTTTTTTTTATCATCTGGACAAGTAGATTGTCATGAGGGACAAGTAGATTGGGACACAAATTTAGTCCCTAGACAAGTAGTTTTTTAAAAAATTTCCACACCCGTTTATTTTTTTAAATACACACCAAATTTCCCTTTAATCTGGGTGCTCGGGTTTTTGCACATACTAAAGAATAAGAATAAACAGGATCTGAAAACAGAGTAAAAAGAAACATGCAAAAAGAATAATTAAGAATTGTTACTGCTACATCGCTTACCTTGATTCATCATGACTAAACTTCCTGTTAACAGTGCTATACAATTAGTAGGTTGATGGTTGTGGAGATACTGAAACCCCCATCCTCTCCTGTATGACGTTTCATACATATAGCCTGAAGCATTGGCAATGACCTCAAGAAACCTCTCTTTTTGGTGTTTAGTAAAAGAGTTATACAAAAAGTCATAAGCAGTGGCAAAGGCCACAAGAGAGTGTGCCAGGGGTACCTCATCCCAGGGAGCATCTTTCACCAACCTAACATAAGAAAAGAAACAATAAACGTTTGGGTTCTTTCCAACTGTTAGCATACAAATTAACACAAATGACTAAAAACAGTATTTCAGCAAGGTGACCTACAATTTCAAGTGTACATAAAAAGGTACTAATAATCTAAAATACCAACAGTAAAATAATCTTAAAGAATATGTTACCCCAGCATTTCATATTCCTGATATTTGCATGTTGTACCATGTACTTGTGTTAAAAAGTATTCTGTTCTCCTCATATTGCATACTGCGTGTGAAATATTTGAAATATCCTACCAGTGCCTCTACTTTCCTATTTGGAAGTGACCGCACTAGGCATGGGAGCACATCCATCTCAGCATTCTCAGTTTTTTGGCTGTGCTGGGAGAACAGCCTGCCTGTCCACCATCGGCCAAGGCTTGTGTGCTGATAAGCCCCCCGCACAGCCATTTTCAGGGAAGATCAGTGTACTGCTGTTTCTCCACCCTCATCTCTCTGAGCCCCTCACACAGTTGGTTATTTGTTTAATATCCTCAAACTAATGTAAAGTGTGCTTTAAAGTCTTCAACAAAGTGCCTGGATGCTGTGAAAATGCTTTGTAGAGGTGTCTGTACACACTGCTGTTATACATTCTGAACCACACATGTACAAGTCCCTAAAGTGGTTGTAAAGGCTGAAGGTTTCTTTACCCTCATGCATTGTATGCATTAAGGTAAAAAGCCTTCAGTGTGCAGCAGTTCTACTCAGCTCCCCCAATAATTACCTGAACTTCAGGGACAGGTCTCTCTCTTCTCAATGGCTAAGTCAGCAGTGGGATCAATTGGCTCCAGCTACTGTTAATCACAGCTAGTGAGCCAATGAGGACAGAATGAGGGGCAGGGACGAGCTGCGTCAGTGTGTGAATGAACACACAGAGCAGTGGCTTGAGAGCAATCCTGCTTGGGTGCCCCCATAGCAAGCTAATTGCTGTGGGGACACTTGGCAGGAGGGAGGGGCCAGGAGCGCCGGCGGAGGACCCGAGAAGAGGATTGGGGCTACTCTGCACAAAACCACTGCACACAGCAGGCAAGTGTGACAAGTGTGTCATATAGAAAAATCTGTTTTTACAATCATTTTAAAGTGGTAATAAACCCAAAACCTAAAATGTAATATATTTCAGCTTACCAATCATTAGATGTGGTGGCTGCTTTTGTTTTAATGCTTTTTTCCATCTGTTTAAACCTGGTGATCTGGTCAGTATTACACCTGCTTGGTATTAAAAAGCCCCTACTCTGGATGAAGGAGCACAGAAAAACCTTTGGACACCAGCATTGTCAGTCTGGGGCAGGGGAGGGGAGTGTTAGATGTACTAGCAGATTTAAATACCCTAATAAACTGAAGCCAAACTCCAACTAACCCTTGTAAGCAGTTACTGCAACAGTTTTTTTTTCCTTTTGGAATAAAGGTCTTAGATAAATAAATAAAAGCTGATCAACCCTGTCAGTGGTAAATCGTCTGTCTCACCTGCTGCTGCTACATCTGCAGCACAGCTTGTTCTTTTGAAAAACAGACTTACTGGCTACTTTACCAGGTGAAAATAAAAGAAAGAAAGAAAGCCTAAAAAAACAAGATCAGGTAATGATAAATATTGTATGGGTCTGTTAACTGATAGCTCTTGGCACATAAAAAAAAAAACAAAAAAAAAAACAACATCTCTAGACTTTGCGTGAAAGCATCTCATAACTAGGGGTACCCAAAGACTTAATTTGGCTTTAATTTCAGTTACTGTTTTTAATCATTCAGTAAAAACACTTAATAAATAAATGAGCAGCGTCAGGGATGTGGTAAGATGTGCTTATTAGAACAGTAAAATAACAGTAAAGTGCATTAAAAATAAACATGTTAAAAAATCTACCAACTAGGCTGTGCTGCCATTCGTTCCATATAATCTCTTGCAAAGCCAATTGCTTCAGTGTTGTCAGGATTCAAGATGCAGAACATTGCCAGTGCTCCTAAATTGTTGCCATATATTTCATTCCATCTGGCTGAAAAGTCTTTTGGTTCCCAAGGTGGAAGGTATTCAGTGGGGTTAGTCAGCATTGTGTGAACAGCTTCATCAATACGTGATGCAATGTGTTGATGGCTGCCTGCTGCTTGGGCACGCAGTTTCGCCACTTCGCCTTTGGAGAAGTACAACATGGGATAGCCGTCATATTTTGCATTGAGAAATGGGATTTTAGAATTTGTGCTCTCTTCTGTGCCACACACAATTATACAAGAAAGCAGGTATATGAAGAACACACTGGGGGCCACCCGTGTGAGTGTCCTCATTGTAGCATAAGATCTCCAGGCCACACACTCTGCCAGATCATCTTTGATACTGCCTGGGGAAGAGAAGAGCATATTTTGAAGATCAACAAAAGAGGAATAGACATTCTATATGCAGCCACTGGTAAAGCCTAAGTGATTTATAAAACATTGTGTCTCCTTATAGTCCTGTACCACTGCATGTTATGACTTGGGACTTGTTTTTTGCTAGGAATCTCTTTAAAATATTTTTTCTCTCAGTGCAGATGCAGCTTCCTGCGCTCACAGCAGTGATCTGTGCTGGCATAGCTGAGTAATAGCCACACCTCTCATCAAGATTCTTTGCACAGACGTACTGTACAGAAGGAAAGAGGGTAATATTTAGGCACCCTGTCCAGCTGCTGCAAAGGAGAAGTGGAGGTAAGACTATGAAAATTAAAGCAGTACTCAACTTCTCCCCACCCTTCCATGTTTTTTCCCCCACTTACCTGTAGTGCTCTTCCAAGCTTATACTAACCAGCACAGCAAATCCAGCGTTGTCCCAGTGTAGTCCCCGCTGTTCGGGTGGCAAACTCTCATGCCGCTATCTTGTTCCTCTTCTGCTGGCTGCTTCTTCCAGGCATTAGCAGCAAACTCCAATGATGCATTGGACCCCCCCCCCCTCCCCTGCTCGCCCTCTGACTGCTCTGTGTGCCTATTCTGCAGCCTTTTGAGAGATGTGATGTAAGTATCCTAGAAAGCTATTCAGGACTAGGTACAAATCATTCTGGCCCAAGCCGGAATGCTGGTAGTGCTAAAAATGAAAGAGTAAAAATAAATAAATAAAAAATATGAAAAAGATCAAACAAACATTTCCTGCAATTTTTTTTGTAGAGGGTGGGGGGGGGGGGGGGGTTCTGTAATTTCAACTGGGCTTCAAAAAACTAGCAATTATATTTCTAAACTCTTAACCAGTTGTTGAACTCACCCAAGCTCAACCATTAATTAGTAATTCCCAACTGGAAGCCTGTGCTCAGGCTAAAACCATCCACTGGTACCTGATAACGTAAAATACTGGTCGAGAGTAAGTTTTGTGACCAGCTTGTAGGTCTGGACTCGAAATTTTAACCCCTGAGTACAGGATCCATAAAAGCATTTATGGATCATGTACTTAAACATTGTAACCAATAAATAACTGGATTTAGAAGCAATCGAGTTGCCGGCTAATATTTTTGAAGTCTCTGAAGAAATGCTGCAGACCGAGGGCTCTCCTGCACCAGATCACGTACATGTACGTGATTTGGCATTTCCGGGTAGGGGGTGAGCTGTCATTTGCTACAGCACAAGCTGATTAGTGGGTACCAGTCAATGATTTATGGCCAGGACCCAGTGATCAGCTGAGCAAAATGACACAATAGAGCCCTGTGTTGGTAAACAACACAGACAACACAGGGTTCTCTACAGATAGCAGAAATGTGCTGTTTTTTCTCTTCCCTGAAAAGCAGGGAGTAAACACCAGCACATTGCTTAGTAGTAACAGCACACAGTACACACAGTAAACATTGTTAGGCACACAGTTATCCCCTTTACTTGCCCCTAAATGTTAACCCCTTCCCAGCCAGTGTGATTAGTATATTGACAGTGTATATTATTAGCACTGATCACTGTATTAGTGTCACTGAAGATGTCAGTGTCAGTTAGCCAGTTCCTACAAAGTGTCAGTTTCAGATTGCCTGCCACCTTGCCAGTCCCACTATAAGTCGCTGATCACTGCCATTACTAGTATAAACAATAAAAAAATTTGGAAAAATTACAGTATATATACACATACCATTGTTTGTAGACACTATAACTTTCGTGGAAACCATTTAATAAATGCTTACTGTGATTTTTTATTTACCTGACATGTAGCAGAATACATTTTAGCCTAAATGTATGAACAAATTAGATTTTTAAAAATTTTTTATTGGATATGTTTTGTAACAGAAAATAATGAAAATAAAGATCTTTTTTCATTTATATAAATAAAACACACAAAAAAACTGTGGTGATCAAGTACTACAAAAAATTTGCGTGAAACAAATGATATAAATAATAAATGAAAAACTGCTCAAAAGTCACACGTCAGGTCAAAATTCAAAGCTGCAAACACACCCAAAGGATATCCCCCTCTCAATCAACATATATAAAAATCAGTGTTGAGCTAAGAGTGAATGCAAAGAACAATCCTTGTGAGTGAAGAAACAATATCTTGAATTAACAAGCAATGGTGAAAATTCTTAATTCCATCCAAAAATCACCAATGTGACTGGCAACCACCATGATAGCAAGTCGGAGGCTTGCCAGATTTTCAGACCCCTTAAGCATAGGAGGTCATATTGGGCTCAGTGTTAATATGAATCTGTCCGGACAGATAAACTATAATGGAACCCAGCGCTCTGCTCCGATACAGTCAAGCCGTTCCAATAGTAAGGATAAGGGTTGGCTCATAAAAATATAATAAAGAGGTGCCTCTCATATTGCAGTAAAATCAGTTAGTTTATTGAAACAAACAAAATTGCACTTACAGCAGCGCTGAAAGTAAAGGAATCAGTCTTTTACATATACAGTGGGGATCGAAAGTTTGGGCACCCCATCTGTGTAACTTGATGCCATCTGTGAAAAAGCTGAAGTTAAAGAAAGGATGGCTTCTACAAATGGATAATGATCCTAAACACACCTCGAAATCCACAGGGGATTACATCAAGAGGCGTAAACTGAAGGTTTTGCCATGGCCTTCACAATCTCCTGACCTCAAGATAATTGAAAATCTATGGATAGACCTTAAAAGAGCAGTGCGTGACAGACAGCCCAGAAATCTCAAAGAACTGGAAGACTTTTGTAAGGAAGAATGGGCAAAGATACCTCAAACAAGAATTGAAAGACTCTTGGCTGGCTACAAAAAGCGTTTACAAGCTGTGATACTTGCCAAAGGGGGCAGTGCATGCTATAAATTCTGCAGGGTGCCCAAACTTTTGCAGACGCCATTTTTTTTGTTTTCTGTTATTTTGAAAGTGTAAATGATGGAAATAAAATCTAACTTTTGTTGACATATTATAAGAATGTCTAATCTGTAATGTGATGCCTTTTGGAGATTTTTCCATCTTTCCTTGGCTTCTTTATGCACATTAATACAAATTTTTAGCTGGGGTGCCGAAACTTTCAATCCCCACTGTAGGTGTTCCAAGATGGCGGACAACACGATGACGTCAGAAGGGAGGCTCCACCCGATGCATTTCGCCATAAACAGGCGTCTTCCGGATTGGGAGACCGCCCTCTGTCACCGCGTTAATATAGACCAAAACCAAGCCTCAATCTGGAATAAACCAACACCCGGATATAACAAACTGGAAGGAACAACACATCCGGAAGTAAAAGGATAATATAAGAATAGAGAGCTGTGCCATTCAAGCCTCTCTGTCATAACTAAATTTAAAATCAAGAAATAGTTGTTTTGAATAATACCATATCAATGTCACATAATTAGGGATTCGTGAAACTGGGAGGTAAAGACACCATAATTAAATATACCATTAGATATTCCAAATTAATGGCAATGGATGATTGGACATCTAAACCAGCAGGGAGCCATCAAGTGTTTGAAAACTACTACCCTGATAAACTAAAAATAAATCCATAATGGAGTAGGTATCATAATCAAATCAGAGAAAAATATAAAAATAATACAAAACTAAATAAAAACTATGAACTATAAATAATAAAATCTTGATGGATAAAAAACAATGAAAGCTACTCTAATAAATAAAACTAATTAGGCTGTCTCACAGCCCATAATATGACTCACAACCTCCTACAAGGTATTCAACTATGGTGAAGAGGATAATAATAATGGAAAGGGTAATCCATTGTGGAAAGGCCAATGTTGTGGAAGCACGAAAAAATAGTTAGGCATTAATAAAAGTGTTTATATCCCAATCGATGTTTAACCCATATGGTAGATAACACTTGACATTATGAATCCACTTGGTCTAAAGTTTGGAGATTTCTCTCCCAATGGAACTCCCTTGCCAGTGAGGGATAAATTTATCAATCCCCCAAAAAAAGGGTACCCCAGGGGTCCTTATTGTGTCTCATGGCGTAGTGTCTAGAGACACTATGCCCTTTAAAACTTCTCTTAATATTCCTTATATGTTCTCCCAGTCGAACTTGAAAAGTACGGGTGGTCCTCTTATATACTGGAGGCCACAATGGCACTGTAAAAGATAAACTACATTGGAGGTAGTGCATGTGACAAAAGGTTTAATAAGACGATTCCTAGAGATGGCAGTGGACATAAAGGACGTAACACTTTTGTGTGAAAACGTGTTAATTTGACACACCGCACATTTCTTCTATTTATAAAAGTCCTTTAAATCCTGAAAAAATGTAGTGTAACGGGGGGTGGGGGGGGGGGGAGGGGGTGTCATATACATTAGGGACGACTAAATTACGTAATGGTAGTATCCTACGAAAGATGACTTGTGGCTTTGCGGGTAGTTAATAAAGGCTTGAAACTTATTCAAGCTCCTAGGTGAACATAATTGAGACCCTTATCCAAAATCAAACTCTCCGAATCAGTTGATTGTTTAGAACTTAGGTTGAAAACACTCTCCCCTTTTACACTCTCAATTTTTTTAGGGTATTGTTTCCTCCACCCTCTGACACCTCTCCTCATTTGGCTTGCCTTTTTGTGCCTTGATTGGCCCGATGAAAACCCGTTGTTTGAGTCCTATGGGGGATTGAGTATGCACATAACCCCTCTCATTAAGGTTTCTATTTGATGGGGGATATGGTCTCTCATGCAAAGAGTTGTCTCTCCCTTCCCCCCCATTTTTGAAGGGTAAGGTACACCCCTCTACCCTTATATGAATGGCCTTGAGAGTTGTTGTAATCATAGTTCAAATGTGGATCCCTAAGGGCCTCATATCTATTTTTAATGGGTACACTGTATTGAACATGCTCAACCTCATTATGATGATTTCTATAACCGCTCGTCCCTTGGATGG